TCATTCGGTCTTTTTAGTTTTTCACGTAGAGGCTAGTTCATTTTATCTTGTAGTGTGGCGTCGAGTCGCGGTTGACTATGATCACCACTACAGGAAGACTACGTGCCAGTTAACCGATAAGATCCCCCGTAGGCCATATATCAGAAGGCAGTTGATGGCTGTAGTCGAGATGTGTTTGTTGGCGATCTCATGGTATCGAAAGAATACCGAGATCGTGCCAAAGGAGTACAAGTGTGGTTACTGAGCGTAATCGAATTCGTGCAAAGTCACAAGCAACGGAAGAATGTATGTCCTTAGTACATTTAAACAAAGAACTACAGTACAATCCATGGTATAATTGGTTATAATAATAATTGTTTCCCTTACACCAATCTCGTTCTGTTAATAAAAGTAGGTCACTGCAATGTCATCCGTTTTTGTCCGTTTTTAGTGTAATTTTAACGGTTTTAGGCTTTTACTAGCATCTATAATATAGTTTACGTCAATAAAGTCATGAAAAATTCATACAAACGACCTGCATGCCGTTTCACTGCTACACCTGGCATACAGTGCGGCAACTGCAAAGGTTGGTTCCATGAGGCATGCACAGATCTCACAGTAACTGCTTACAACAGACTTAGTAAGTTGGATCATAAGTGGGTATGTAGTACGTGCAACACGGATGCTGTAGTTTTGCTGAGTAACATAATTATCCTATTGATAAGTCTAAGGAATAAGATGTCAGCAAACTCGGAAAAAGACAGTCATAAAAAGGGTAGACAAAGAAGGACGAGCAACAAAAACAAGAATAGGGATGTCGACAGGTTTACTATCGATGGGGCATACATTAGCATTAGTGATGACATGCTGAAACTTTTCACCATCATAACGTCGACAGTAATAGACTCCTTCAAAAAACTCGGGCCTCCTAGCCCAGGCTCCTTGAATGAAACGGTGGTTCCCGAAAACTCTGGAGGTGATTGGACCCACGTTAACAGACCTAGAAAGGACCAGGTGGCACTGCCTAAGCTGAACATCCCAAGCGTTGTACGGAAATCAGCTGATAATCTGATCGCACGATCTACCCCCAAGAATGTCCGTCCGGTCATCAAAGAGCCTAGGATTCAGAAACGTGCTTCGACCCCCAAACAACAAGTTGCTGAACCTGAACGCACCGGTAAACCTGGGAAAACAATAACGGTTTGTGATGACTCTCATAATCATGAACCTCAAAGACAACCCTCACCTTCCTCTCAGTTTGCAGGACAAAAATGACAGGATGCTCTGGGGTGAGTTGAACATGAAGCTTGAACTTCCTAGAATAGAGCCTTTGACGGTCACACGGCTCACTCGGAGAAAGGAATCTAAGCATCGAAACCACCCGAGGCTACTTCGTGTAACACTTAAGAATGCGACCGACGTTGAGGATGTCCTGCTAGTTAGTCATATACTGAAATTCGATGAAAATGTCAGAATACTGCTCGACATACCGTATTCTGAGCGCAATCTCATCCGAAACACTCCTCAAGAATCTCACGAGAAGTTTTTCCGCGGAAGAAATATAGTTGTGCAAGGTGTACCGACAACATGGACTCTAATCAAGCAAACTGTAATATTAGGGAATAGTAATTCATCAAGCAGTTCTTGAGGCTCAAAAACATACTGACTTAACATGTGATGAGACTAGCGAAGAAGGACGGTGATTCTAGACCCCGGCTAATGAAGATAACTTTCCCATGGCGGCTGCAACTCCGGAAGCATTTCGTGCCAACAGACGTCGGTTGCAAACTGGGATCCATATGCACCCGGATAGGCCACATGACGCCAGGATCAAGCACAAGTTGGAGCTGACCATTCCATTTGTGAACTGTCTTGATCATAAAAAAATGTGTAACCAACTCGGCAAAACTCATATAGGTAGGCTACCTGTCCGTTCATGTAAGGCTCACACGGACAAACAGGAAGAAGCCCACGTGTTTCAAGTTCAAAGCATAAACTGCTTATACATGAACGCCGCGAGTCTACCAAACAAAATGAGTGAGTTACGTGAACTTAGCAACGCCAATAAGGCTCATCTGATAGGAATATCTGAATCTTGGATATCTTCTCAGTTTACGAACCAGGAGCTAGCGACAGAAAAACAAGAATTGAGGGTGGAGTAGCCGTATAAATACGATCTTGCCTGGAGGTGCACCAAGTTCATAACCACGAGTTTAACAATCTTGAGGAATCCATATGGTTTTGGTGGAGTTTTGTTCTCTGAGCTGGATGGTTTGGTCGTGGAGCTTTCATCGTTCTTCTGAACGACATCATCAGGACAAACTTCAGGTAGAATCATCCACCTGAGCTACAAATCTTCTCCACCATCTCAGAATCCATATGGTGCTCTGTAAGATTGTCTACTACTTCGAGGTGCCTAGTCGGGTCATCTATAGGAAGCCCACTGCTGACATCGAGTAGGACAGTGGTATGCTGGAAGAACTATCCCGCTCTACGCGTCTCGGTTTCACTCATATCTTGATTCTCCCTAGAGTTAATTTCACGGAACATACGTATAATGGAGGTGAAAACTCAAGTGAAGCTCGGTTCTTCAACCCATCGAGGATTTGGGATTTACGAAAATGAGAAGTCGGCAACTCGTTGGAGAAACAGTCAGATACCGTCGCGCTTAGAACGAGTATTTGCAAACGAAGAATTCCTAGTTGACAACCTCTCAATCCTGGCTCCCCTGGGAAAGAGCGATCACGCCTTCATAGCTTTCGTCAGCAAAACTGAGCTAAGATATCCCACCAACAACTTGCGCCGGAATTTCAAACGGTTGAATGTGTCAGCTCTACACGACTATCTACAACAGGTGGATTGGGATGTTCACCCTCAACTCGATGTGGACGGTCATTGGGACTTCTCACTGCACACGCTCTCATGTGCTATAAAGCATTCGATTCCTCAAATGGTCCTCAAAAACTACAAGCAACCTACAATCATCAACAACTGTACTATTCGCCTGCTAAGCCGCAAAAGGCACTGTCGGGCAAGATACAAACGAACTGACAACAATGGAGCGTACAAGCAGTACAAACATATAAGGAACGTATGCACGAAGGTTATAAGAGAAGATAGGCTCCAGTACCCGATGAAGCTTATGGATAAATTTGTCTCCAATCCGAAAAGCTTATTCCGTTATGCAGCCTCTCTTCGTCAAGCCAAAACTGGATTTTCTCAACTGCTAGGTCCTAATGACCCGACCAATAACGACGGTGATGCCGCTAACCTTTTGACTGAGCAATACTCTCGGAAATTTCAACCGTCCCATATCAACTATACTGACGACAGCTTCATCTGCAACTTCAAAGGACTTTCCGTAGCGAACCTGAGCGCTGACTTGGTGTTCCGGAAACTGCGGCACCTAAGAAAAGATACTTCTTTTGGTCCAGATATGGTTCATTCTGCTATACTGAGAGAAGCAGCTTCGATCATTTCAACACCGTTTAGCGTGATGCTCACATACTCGCTGAGTCAAGGCAAACTACCGGAAATTTGGAGACTAGCTCACATCACACCAATTTCCAAAGGAGGTCGACGCAGCGAACCTTCAAGTTACCGACCGTTGGCTCTTCTCCCTATACCTTCAAAAATCATGGAGTTTCTGATATGCGACGGTTTAAATGACTATCTACTGTCCTTAAATTTCTTTTCACCCCAACAGCATGGTTTCAGGAGGGGTCACTCTTGTATAACCAACCTGCTGACTGGGGTGGACAGATGAACAAGCAACCTTGATCGCAAGTGGAAGGTTGATATCATTTACCTTGATTTCTCAAAAGCTTTTGATAGGGTCAACCATATATGTCTTATCAATAAGCCCAAATGATTGGGTACCAGAGCACCTCTAATTGATTGGCTCATGCCATAACTAAAAAATCGACATTTGACGGTTAGGGTTAACTTCACTTTTTCTCAGGCTATGGAATATCCTAATATGGTCTCACAGGGCTCGGCACTAGGATCTCTTCTCTTCTTGATTTATGTAAATGATTTTCCACAACAGGTATTGTCAGACTTATTACATTTTGCCTATGGTGTGAAACTTTGGAGAGAGATACGCGACCAAGACGATGTGCAGGCACTTCAGGAGGACCTGACTCGACTTCAAAGTTGGGCAGACGATAACGGACTTACCTTTAACACTTCAAAGTGTAAAGTAGTCCATCTGCGACATGTCGTAGACCATAGTTACAACTTACGAAACTCCTCTCTAGTAGCACCCGAGTCGAAAAAGATTTAAGATTTGAAGTCTTACGCTAACTGTGATAGAAATGCCTTTCGAGCAAACCTTGCACTAGTAACATTGAAGCGCATTTTTGGCCAGTTTGGCGGAGGAACTTTCCACATAATCTTCAGCAGTTTTATTCGTCTCTATTTATAGTACGGAAACATAGTATTTCCTCTCTCACTCCAAAAGGATAAGGACACTCTAGAACGTATCCAACCGCGAGCCACGCAACCAGTTCGGGGACTCAAATAAAAGCCTTATGAAGAGCACCTCCAATTACTGAACCTTTATCCACTAGAGTGTCTTAGAGGTGGCGTTATGACTTACAGTATCCTTAGCACTTCTGGACATCCTCTCAAACACCTACTAAAGCTTAGTTCCAACACTAAACTAAGAGGTAACACCCAAATACTGGGGACACAACATAACAGAACGGACTGTAGACACAACTTCTACTCCTTAAGAGTTGTCAAATGCTGGAATTCGCTGCCGGCCGAGCTAGTCCAAGGGACTTCCTAGGAGTCCTTTATGAGGAAACTTGACCTATTCTTAAGGACTAAGGATAACATCTTATTATGAGTTACCAGTTTCTTTTTTTTCTAATATATCATAGTTGATATACCTAGGTTCCTGCCTGGAGGTGATGGTGATCCCCTGCTACTAGACACGGAATCATGATAAGCGAAAACTTCTGTTCCGTCCACAACCATTTGAACCATTTGTGTGGATTGACGTTTGAATTTTTGAAGGCGCTTTAAACGATGCTTCGATTGCTGACCTTGCGGTTTCTACCCAAGCGAGGTGTTCTTAGTTTAAGGAGTTATAGTCCTGATGGAAGATATAAAAGTGAACACGGACCATCGTACTACCTTATCCCAGAAATACCTAGTGAATCTTACGTGTCAAAAATCATTCTGGAACCGCTGAACATCTCGAAGTAAGTTTTTTCTATAAATTGCATGTCACAATAATAGTTTAGATGACCTGAAACCCGATAAGGTTTTCGGTGGCGTTTCCAGACTTATAATGAACTATCAGGTGTCAATATCGAAGTTGTCAGATAATATCCAGAAAGGAGAGCTTTCAAAAAATGACACTACTATCATATCTTCGCTTGAACAAGCATCTTTTCCAGTGGAACAAGCGTTTCGTAATCTAAGTTGCTTAACAACCCTGAAGAATGATCACATTTGGAGTTTAGTAGTATCACGTCTGTATCAAAAATTCAAGGCGGCTAGGCGTGAATATTTTCATCGCGATTCAACCATATGCGAAGCTCTTTTAACACTCAGGCGATCTTCCTCAAAGTTGGATGAGTATGAGAAAGGTAACTACGGGTGGCTTGAAGATGTTTACTGGTTAAAATAGGCGTTTAGACCACTTAATATGATTCTCATCATGCAATCTCTCAAATCCTACTACAAGCATTACATGTGGCGTACATTCCGTAGCCGTCAAAAGAAGCTAAACAAGGTTCCGCTTTTTTTCGATCGATATACATTTGTGTCAAACCCTTTGTGCATATGTGTCTGGGACTAGGTTCTTAAACCCTCAGCACTCATATTATATTGAATCTAGTACATTATATGTAAAATTGTAAGTTACATTTGAGATTAAAATAGCTGATATAAGCGAACAATTTTCTCTTCAATTAGGTCATCATCACGTATTATTTTAGTCCACGTGAATATTTGCATAGGTAGTATAAACAAACAAGGCGATTTGAGAGTCAATGATCACATTGAGATAGATTGTATAACTACACATAACAAGTAAAATGTGCAAACTGATAGTAAGGAGAGAAGTGTACTAGTAGTGACAAGAATAATAAAATAATGAAAATCCTAGTCAATAGTTTAACGTAGGAAGTAGATCGGATTTAGATAAGTAGGTTTTACAATAATGATCACAGTACATTTTTAAATTTACGTAAATAATTAGAAAGTGAAGAGTTGTTTGCTAAGTCATATCCGGCCAAGTAAGGGGACGGGTATCACGAATTTCTTCCGAAAACAAACTAGAGTTGTATGTTCAGCTGCCAGGTCCACTTTCTGCTAAATGTAGGAGACGGAAAATAACAAGAGTACGATAGGTCACTCGAAATGATTTGGTTTTATCTACCATATTACAATTGCCAACCAGGTGTCTCGAGAAAGAGCTCCGTATTGTCTGTGTCCGGGCCTTTTCTAACCAAGCATGGAGATGCTCACTAATTCTTTTGTTAAGTTGACTGGTAGTTTTGTAGTGAAAGAGAGTTCAGGCGGAGGAAACCAGTTTATTGTTGCATGCAAAATTACACAGTTGCTTAGCGAAACATAAAAATCATACATTAAATACATTATTTGCGCATCTTTGCGTTATCACTTATATGCTTCATTATTCCTCTAATTCTGTATGTGTTGTTAGAAGCAGTTCAGTTGAGAATTCTTTAAGATAATCCAGTTTTTCTCACTTTTATAAAGAATGTAGGAGGGGACTATAGTAGGACGACTATTCTATTCTGAGCCATGTCTGATGACTCCTCAAACCATTGAGCTGCACCATCTTCAGAACCCCAAGCAGGGGATCTTAATGGACCGACCTATAGCAGTCCTGGACATCTTTTATATCGTGTCCCAGTATTATAAACTGACCAACATCAAATTAATTCAGTGTAAAAAGCTGATTCAGAACCCGCATTTGTGGTAGAGTTCAAAATTTCGGCAATTTAGTGACTTGGAGTCCTGTAGACAGAACCGAGCTTTTACCATAGACGAGCTCCTGTGTCAGTTAGGAAATAAAAGTAAACAGAATAGAAAGGAAGCGGAATAGAAGTCAAGTAAAGTAAAACAAAAACACTTGAACTAAATGGTTACTAATCATCTTTTGATTTAGCAATTAAACGGAACAAACAGATCAATTTATTTCCGGGTCATTCTTCTATCTGTGAGAGGAATGGGGTGCTGCCTGGCCACCCAAACTGAAGTAGATTTCTTCTTAAAGGTCCACTTCCTGAGTCTTTGATTGACGGGTCCAATCCACAAGACAATAGAAGAACATCGGAGTGACCAGAAATAGATTTATATCCCACTTGATCCATCAGGATTCTGGAGCACTTGTACATAATTATTTTGGAATCAGGGTCTTCCAACCCTTCTAGATGAATTCTTCATATCTATCAACTTGGTCTGAGTGCCGGGCGTTCACTTTTCAACCTCTGGCTTCTATAAATAACAACCGTTTCCATGGGAAGGCAATGAGTTAGACTTTCCTGGTAGTGGCTACTAACACGACCGTGTGAGAGCACTTCGAAGAGAGCTGACTCTCTCCATTTTTGATTTTACCAGGGGATTTGAGGGGGAAGTGCGTCTGTCCAATAAAAAACAATTATAAATTCAATGAACAGTGCGTATATTAAAGGTCAAATCAATCACATTTGTTTTAGCCTAAATATACATTTGTGGAAACTATTTTTTAAATGTTGATTCATCCATCAATTAAGTGCTGAAAACTATAGAGTAACACACAGTAGTCATTTTATGTCGTGAAACAATCTTTTTTTCGATACTTTATTTGTTTCACAATTTCAGGCTTATTGAACGTATGGATATATGATTGTTGGTCAGTGGGTACTGGGCTATTGCTTGCCAGTAACAAGTCTGGAAAAATCATTTCATTTTCTGAATTGAATGATATTATTCAAGAAACTAGCAAAACTACAGCCTCTCCACATATTACTCCACCAAACGCCCGCAAATCTTTGGAAGTGATACATGATAGTTATGCTACTGTAGAGAAAGAAGAAGCTAAATTTCAAGCAATGGTTGCATCTTGTGCTGTAGTCTCATTGCCTAAGTATTATAGGTCAAAATACACTGGTCGTGTAACAATACCGTCATCTTTAGAAATCCTCACAGGTGCCACGGATGTCAGTGTCGCTGAGTCAGACCTGGCTCCATCAGCTCCTTACTGGCTACCAGCAGTCTTAGGTGGTAAAGAAGATGGAGGACATATAGCTGGGATGCATCTCAGCTTAATTTCAAACGATGTAGTCAGTGAATTCCTAAAACACTGTAGTACTAGCGAAGTGAGTTCAGTATCTAAAAACTTTTGTCTATATATTTTTAAATGAAGGTTGTAGCATATAAAAAAACGGCAGATTTAAAAACATAAATGGTAACCTGAAACCTTCAGAATTATCCATCATGCTTGTGTGAAGAAACTAAAACTGTTATGAAAGATAACAGTGTATAACTAGCACCTGCAAGTTCATTACGATTCTTCAGTTGAGTTCCTAGGGATGGTGCGACCTTGAGGCGTTATCAGATATGCATCATAGTAGGAGCATGTTGTGATCTTGCTTATTACATTATTCTTAGAGGGGAGTTGATCGTTTCTAACTACGAGGAGGTCTTGTTCTCTGTATTGTTAGGTGAACTGTTTGAAAAAATAATATCTCTCTTCATTTGTTTGCAGGGTGTACAATTTTGCCTCCCACTTTTCCAAATGTTTTCACTTTATTTATATGTAGAATTTCTGAGAGCTCTGTCGTACTTATTTATTTATTTTATTTGAGCACAAATATTGGTACAAAGTGGCATCGAATACATATGTGCCACACAAGTCACTTGGTTTGTGTTTAGGCTACGATACTGCCCGGGTGTCCAGACTGAAGTAGGTGGTTATCTTCCACGTCGTGCATTATTTGCCTACTCTGGAACTGGTTGGAAAAAGCGGAGAGGTGGTCAGTGTATGACATGGTGTCGTGGTATGAAAGAAAGCTGCAAAGGGCTAGCTTCTGTCGGTCCTTCACGACTCCCTGGTTGGGGTCCTAGAGACGGTGCGACACAGTGGCTAGAGACGTTATCAGATATGTCTCAGAATAGAAGCCAGTTGCGATCCTGCTGTAACCTTTTACTTTTTTCATAAAAAGTGGTTGCTTCTTCCTTAATTGAAAGAATACTTCTGATTGTACCTTTTCGCTTCCCCCATTATTATTATTATTATTACACTACCTTACATTAATCTGTACGTTATTGTTCTTTTTTTTACGTCCCTTACTCTTTTTTCTTTTTTTCCTTCTCTTCAAATTCTCATTGTTTTGTGTAGCGCATATATATTTGGTGCCCTCTTGTACCAATATTTATGTGTTTAAATAAATAATAAATAATTATTTGAGCCTATATACTTTATTAGGTACGTAAAACCGTATGGGAATACTGGGTACGACGTGCAAGTGGTCGTTATTTTGGCCCAACTACCGGTTTATGTGCGTCTAATGATCAGCGTATACAGGATATTCGTCATTTACGAAGAACTCTGGCAAAATATCTTGGTTGTAAAGACTGGTTGTCCGTTGTTTGGAGTTCTCCTTATTCACACTCGCCTTCGTCTCCTGATGAACTTATCGCTAATGTCCTAGAACCTTCCAGATCTATTTTAACACAAGTTGGAGAACGTGACTTTAAGCTACTAAAAGAATGGGCTAATGTAAATCTAGATATATCTGGTAAGGATTTTTCATATGAAATTTAATTACCATTGTTTTTAGCACTACTAGCTTGGAGTTGAGCTTAAATTGGTGTCAAAGCATAAATAAGGATGATCACTCAAGCTCAATATTACTTAAACATACAGCTATTAATTTTTCTAGCTAACCGCATTGCCACTATTACATTAATTGATTAGGAGTGATGTTATTTTGAAAAATAGAGAGGAAACGCATTATCAAAGGCTAAATAAAATATAGTACTTCTGCAAATCGATCCATTTAATTGGACTTGTGTGCAAATCTTTTTACCTTTACTTTATCATGCATTCTTACGATTGAAGAACATATGGAACTCAACACAACTGTCGGTCAACATCAAAGTCAGGATTTTCTATACAAATGTCTAGACAGTTCTATTGTACGGAGCTAAAATTTGGAGAGCTATTAGAATCATCAAAAATATTTAGGTATTTGTAAACAATTGTCTACGTAATATACCTAATGTCCGTCGGCTAGATACCATCAGCAACAGCCTACTGTGACAGGGAACAAGTAAGCTTTCAGATGGAGGAGGAGTTAGGAAGACACTTGAGGTGGATAGGACGTATATTACAGAAATCACCAAACTGCATGACAATGTAGGCCCTAACCTGGAATCCTCAAAGGAAAAGAAAAGAGGAAGACCAAAGAGCACATTGCGTCGGCAATCGGAAGCAGATATCAAAATAATGAATAATAGCTAGAAACAACTAGATAGAAGAACCCAGAACGGAGTTGGTTGAAGAATCCTGGCTGACATCTATGCTCCACGAGGAGTAACAGGTGTAATTAAGTAACTAAGTACGATGGTACCACCAACCAGATGGTATTATTATTGCTATTATTATTATTATTATTATTATTATTATTATTATTATTATTATTATTATTATTATTATTATCATTAGCTTTGTTCAATATTATATTTTTGGCACAATATAGAATTCTCAGGACAAAGTATTTCACTGAGCTTCCGTTTCTTATTTCTTGATCTATATTGACGATAAATATTAAGTGGTCGCCAGTTGAATATTAGCATTTCAGAAGTCGATATCTGAATAATATTCATCCTTTTCAATGAACATTGCCAGTTATCACGATGTCTCCGATTGTAAGTCTTTGTAACTTGTACAGCGAAAGGTCGTAAACTTTTCATAAACGCACCTGAAGTTATGCATTTAATTGACGTAATGATGTGTCAAAACAAACAAGGAAACAGATTACCTATTGAAATATCTAGATGGCACGAACAGGTAGCCCAGATATTCAAGCAGGCCGCCCGGGTGTAGGGAATAAGCTAAAAATGAGGGGCGACCAGACCAAGACATGGCATCAGTCCATGAGTACTGATGTGTGGGACATGTGGGTAAGCACAGACTATCATTTTTGGTCCGCATGATTATCACAATTAATGTTTCTGGCGTCTGCTGGGATCACCGGGTAAGTAATGGTGAGGTTAGACGCAGGGTATTAGGGAAGGATGGTAAATCAGTCGATGAGGTTGTGAATCTTCGTCGACTGAGATGGTTGGGCCACGTGTTACGTATGCCCGAACACCGATTACCACGACGTGCAATGCTAACCGGCGTTCGGGATGTTTGGAAGAAAGTTAGGGGCGGCCAAACCAAAACGTGGCATCAGTGCTTGAAGTCACTAATTTCTAGTCTGAGCCATGTTGGTAGATGCAGACTACTTGGTTGGGGTCCGTGTGACTATCGTAACCAATGGTTGGAGACTCTTGGTGACATGACTCAGAATCGATCACAATGGCGTCGGTGTATGCACTCTCTGTCTTCCCTTAAACTGAGAGATTAAAATTGCTTCATATCTTTCTTTCTACGAACTAATTCTTTCTTCCTGTACTATATCTTTATTACAATCTTTTATATATTACCACTATTGAATTAACTACTTTTATGAATCTGGTGTCCATCTTGTTGTGTTAATGAGGTATGGCAACTTGGACCGATGCATAAATGTGCCTGATCCTACGTTGTAGCTGACTGACTGACTGACAATTAGTGTTTGAATAATATAGGTGACGTGACTCTGAAGACTTTGCAATGGGAAAGGTGCATGCACTTTCTATTTCCTTAGATCCTAAGTTTCTAAATCCTGCTTAGATCTGGGCACCCGGGCAGTATCACAGCCCACACACAAATCAAGTGACTTGCGTGGCACATATGTATTCGGTGACCCTTTGTACCAATATTTGTGTGTTCAAATAAATACATAAATAAATTAAAGTTTTCTAAATTGCCTTATCAATTTTGATCATTCTACTAATCCACATTTTTTCAAGTCAAATCTTGTATCCCTTTTTTGTATTTCCACTATTGGCCATATTAACAGGTATAGATTACCTGGTTTGGGTCCGTGTGATTATCCTAACTAATGGTTAGAGACTTTGAATGATATAGCTCAGAGTCGCTTGTAATGGCGCAAGTACTTCTGTAGTGGATTATCCTCAAGGTAATAATTCTCTAGGTTTCTTATATCAATCGCCCTGATAACTGTTATTATTCAGAAAGCAACATGAAGTATCGACTACAGTTTATTATGTATTATTATTTCTAATGAAATATTAATCTTATATCTTTTTTCACTGATATAATTTAATAAAATTTATTCATTTAGGCAAAACTTTGGAACCTTGGGACGTTGGATATGCTTTGGAACAGTATAATTACGCTTTTAATTATGCACGTTTAGAGCATATAATCACTCCACCAGATGGTTCACTAGTAAATTATCTTCACACAGTATTTTGTGAGTTAGCAAATGTATTTCACTTTAAGTTATCATCTCAAATACCAAGATCATCTGTAGAAGAAAATAAATGTTATGTTGTTGAAAAATTGGTTTATCATGTGGAAGACTTAACAAGTGGTACACCACTTGGTGAAATAATTATTGATCCTTTCGCTAGGTGGGTGCACTTTTTAAAGTTAACTAGTATTATTGTTTTATTTATGGTATGTGTTTACTCTTTTCCATAGTGTGTAGGTACTAAGAAATAAGTTAAATGTTAAGTAATATTAGCCGCTACTTTAGTTTATTGATCAGACTTGTCTACTGTGATACACCAAATAAGCTGTGTTGTTTGAATCGCTTGTTTCTACCATACAAAACGGATTGTTTGGTTAGCCATAGAGCTCAAACCATCAAATGTTTTGTTCGAAGGCAAAGTCGTAGTGTCAACTGTACTGAGGTTTAGGGGATTAAACTATTTCTTTTGGATTATCAGGTTGTCCAGTTAGTGTCTTGGTATAGAAGGAATGGCTAGAAAATTTTTAATGCAAATCACCTCGCTCTACGAATTTCCAGTTCGGGGTGATATGGTTTTAATAGTACATAGGTATTACAACAAAAACCACTAACAGAAAAACCGTGTGTGACTACTTTCATCATCTCTGTTTTTAGAGCGGCAGATTAAAAGTCAAAACACTTGGTTTTCTACCAGTAGATTTTTGATTCAAAGCACATCATCTGGTTCAGTTTAGTGCGCTGAGTTATGGTATCACAAACAGTCATATATAAATGGTATTTCAAAAGTCTGAGTAAATAGAACTGTGCTTGGTAAACAAGTTACAAAGAAAAAACAAACAAAGAATTTTTGTTTCAATTGTGTTTATTATTATTATTTCTAATTTATTTAAATCATCATTTTACTCATTTTGAAAATTTCAGAAGCAATCGTTCAGTTCCTGTTGGTGGTAATATATTTGTTCCTGTCTTTGCACGAAATAATTTACCAAAGATTGACATTCATGTACATTCTGAATCTTCTCATTATCCTATAGCTTACATTCTAGGTAGTTTAAATCAATCTACTGAAACAAATGGAATTTCTTTCAATGTAAGTTTATATATAACATGTAGCAAATTCGAAAACTTTACAACTCTATTCAAGTAATCCTAAATTTTATTATGTAGTTGCCTATTTTCTTCTATTCTCAACTATTTAATCAAGTGAAATTGTCAGTCAGTCAGTTACAACGTAGGATCAGGCACATATATGCATCGGTGCAAGTTGCCATACTTCACTAGCACAACAAGATGAACATCGGATTCATAGAAGCAGTTAACTCAATAGTGTAATATATAAAGGAAAGATGTTATGTAAAGATATAGTACACAAAGAAAGATATAAAACAATTTTAATCTCATAGTTTAAGGGAAGATAGACAGTGTATACACCGACGCTATTGTGATCGATTCTGAACCATGTCACCCAAAGTCTCCAACTATTAGTTACTATAGTCACGTGAACAAGTGAAATTGATACAATAGCTACAAATAGATTGTATTAGTCGTAGACAAATTGGTTAAATGTACGATTCCTATCTAATACTATGTTATAAGAATATCAAAAGATCAAACTGTTCAATCAGACTATTCAGATCATGTAGTAGTATAAATCTAAAATAAGAAAATTTCAGTTTGATTGGTTGGCAGTCTAAATATGCTAGACTTCACTTAGTCATTTCCTATTACTCAATATAAGTTTTAAGATTGAAGGATTTATTTTTCCATCAACTTGTTAGTAATTAATTAGATAGTTTTGATTTGTATACTTTTAAAATATAGGGATCAGTTATAGTTATGAAACATATTTGTGTAAAATTATGTTCACCTAGTGTGTAGGGCTTCTATGTTCATTAAATAAGTTAGATGTATACTTGATAAATTTATGTCACTTTAAAAAAACATTTATGCTTGAGAAAATAAGGATGTGATTGGCCACTGAGACTGAACTGTCAAACACTTAATAACTATTAAGTATGTCATTTCCTATTATGAATTTCTAGCCCCCAAATGCCCTGGTATCGTCGAAGGTGGGAAAAGTCAGCTCTCCCTCTCGAAATGCTCTCATATGGCCATGCGTATATAGCCACTGTCAGAGAAATTCTACTCACTACCTTCTCGCAGCATTACTGTTCTTTACGAAATTGAGAGAACGAAAAGCGGATGTCCAGCGCTTCAATCGGGTTAGTGGACACGGAGAGTACACCTAGGGTAGTTGGAAAACCGTGCTTAGAAACCAATCGTGCACATGGGCTCCAGAATGCCAAGGGAACGAGTGGCGTTTGAATCAATTATTGGTCACCGACTACCATATGACTGCATCTCCTGACATTGCTCTACTGCCTTGTGGATCAGACACTTAGGTGGGAGGCTCTGGGTGTAGTGCCCTAAGGAAACTACCTGCTTCAGTCTGGGAACCCGGGCAGTATCACAAGTGACTTGTGTGTATTCGGTGCCCCTTTGTACCAATATTTATGTGTTCAAATAAATAAATCTATAAATCAATTTCTACTCTGGACTCATTGAATGCCGACCGCTTGAATAGAGTATACTATCTAGCTTGTACTCTGGTTCTCTATATTGTATTGGGGATCGTGTATCTGGTATAATCAAACATCAGTCTGTCTGTAGTGTATCGATCGAGTATCCAATTTAGTGAAAATATAATCTCAGTTGCCGATTGCATTAATGTATAATGGTAGTATAGCTTGGCATCAGAAAATATTTCTATTCTGTTGTTCTATCAATTTCAAAGTCAGCAAATATGTATACATAAATATATATATTTGACTTTTTTTTAAAAAGGTTTTATTATCATTTATGTCTATGTTTGGAGCATGTCTTCAATATGTATCATGTCGTGTACCGCATCATGAATTATATGGATTCCCTCATTATATAGCATTGGATACACGTTATGTTATGCCAGATTTATGTTATAATATAGGATATAATTATGCTATACCGTCATTAAAAAAATATTTACCAAATAAACAAAAATCCTATTTTCAACCATGTAAGTTAGAGTTTTGTTATGATTAAAATTTTTTCACACAGATTTATATTCATAACTCATATATTATACTGTTAATATCCTGTTACTTCATTCAGTCAGTCAGTAATAACGTAGAACTTTGTACGTACGTACATCAGTTCGGGTTGCCATACCACATTAGCACAGAGATGCAGTTGTCGATTACGTCAATTACGTACTCACCCTGGATGGTGAGCAGATAGATGTAGTCGAGAAGTTCGTGTATCTGGGTAGCTGCATAAGTGCTGGTGGGGGTGTGAGTGGTGAGATCAATGCACGAATAGTGAAAGCCAGAGCGGCTTATGCCAATCTGGGCCACCTTTGGCGCCTTCCTGATGTTAGTCTGGCTGTAAAAGGTCGGATCTACAACGCGTCGGTGAGAGAAGTTTTGCTCTATGCTTGTGAAACCTGGTCTCTCCGAGTTGAGGATGTTAGACGACTCTGTGTTCGATCATCGCTGTCTCCGAAGGATTGCTGACATTCAGTGGCAACACCATGTCAGTAATGCAGAGGTTCGGCATCGTGTGTTCGCGCACAGAGATGATAATTCGATTGATGTCACCATTTTGAAACACCGACTTCGGTGGCTTGGACACGTTTTACGAATGTCGTCCTAGAGAATTCCACGTCGTGCATTATTTGCCGACTCTGGGACTGGTTGGAAGAAGCGGAGAGGTGGTCAGTGTATGACATGGTGTCGTGGTATGAAAGAAAGCTGCAAAGGGCTAGCTTCTGTCGGTCCTTCACGACTCCCTGGTTGGGGTCTGAGAGATGGTGCAACACAGTGGCTAGAGACGTTATCAGATATGGCTCAGAATAGAAGCCAGTGGCGATCCTGCTGTAACCTTGTTTTACTTTCTTCATAAAAAGTGGTTGTGTCTCCCTTACCTGAAAGATTTTTTCCGATTGTACCTTTGCGTTCCCTCATTACTACCACACTACCTTACACCAATCTCTTCGTTATTGTTCTCTCTTTTTTTTCTATTTCTCTCCGAATTCTCATTGTTTTGTGTGGCGCATATATATTGGCGCTCTCTTGTGTTCAAATAAATAATAAATAAATAAAGTTGTCGATTCAAATCCCGTAGTGGTAGAGGTAGTAAAAGTATAAGCAGTAATGGGAAACATTAGGGTTTGAAGATGTTATTCAAGGATTATGATCCAGAGAAAAAAGGGGAGATGAAGAATTCAGGAGATTAGAATTAGGCAGAACAAAAGGAGTGAATGCACCGGTGCCATTGCAAACGATTTGAGCCATGTCATTCAAGGTCTCTAACCAACGGTTGCTATCGTCTCGCGGATCCCAACCAGATAGTCCACATCTACCAATATGGCTCAGTCCACTTGTCTATGACTTCATGGATTTGTACCACGTTAATTAGCATTTAATACTTGATTTTGACAATGTTAGTTAGATCTGATTATGTTCATTTTACTTAAATCACTGATCATTTCTTAAACATTTCATTGAATAGAATTTCAACTGATCAATTTATTTAGAATTCTTTCAGCTAATTAGTATTATACACAATATTAACTTATTATACTATCAATTAGAGCTTTATTTATTTTTGTCTGGGCACCATATACATATGCGCCACACAAGTCACTTGATTTGTGTGTAGGCTATGATACTGCCCGGGTGACCAGACTGAAGCAGGTGGTTATCTTAAGGATCACTCTTGCAGCCTTTGATCTAAAGGTCTAATCCATAAGGCAGTGGAGCAACATCAGGAGATCTATAATTGGTTTATACACCACTTGTTTCCTTTGCATCTTGGAACCCATGTACACCATTGGTTTGGGATGAGGATTTTCCAACTCCCCTAGGTGTACTCTTCGTGTCCACCAACCCGATTGAAGCGCCAATGTGTCATAGTGTGGTGTGTGCCACTTATGTAGACGGATATAAGTAGTATGTAACACCATTCGAGAGTGGAATGCCTGGCAGCAGAATGTTGAGAAGGTCTAATAGAAGAGAACAAAAACATAGAGTGATTAGTATAGAAATGAAAGAATAACAAAGTCTAAGGTAATTGATGGATATTATGCAAATAAAGTATTCAACGTATGATATTCACATTTTACCGAATAACTGTAATTTTGTATTCAAACTCATCTGGTTTTCCTCTACCTGTGTTCCGATTAAGTACAATAGGAGTATAACAATAAATCTAAAAAAACTGAATAAAACAGATTGTACATACACATCGCATCTAGACGACCATTCTGGAGTAGTGATAATCCGTTGTCGAGATATAAACGATTATATAATCTCAGTAGTTGAGATCATAAGTTAGTTGAAGCTAGACTATGTATAAGGTAGATTATATAATCAACAAACGACATGAATAAGATTAAAACATAATGAATAAAGCTTAGTTTGTGAGGAATAAAAATTATTGAAATAGAAGGTAGTTAAAAAATGACATAAAAAAAAAAATAAAATAGAAAAGGTTACGTAATTTTATCGTGTTGTATCATAGAATTTTTGTTGTAAATCAAAGAAAAATCGATAATAGTCTCCTTTCTGTGAATACACATCTTAGAGATTTCTGACACTTGATAATAATAACTTCAGCATACTTCAGAAAGCTACAGATTTGAATGTTTAGTGATCATTTTGATAAACTTCAAAGTATCAGTCTGATATTTTGTGTCTGAGTGTTTTCTGAAAATCACTCTGTTAAACCTGCCTATTTTTCTTGATGGAAGCCTATTGAGATATGTTTAAAAAATCTAAAGGTAGTAAGTTGTATACTACTTATGTTGACAGATGTAAGTAGTATATAGTTTTAATCGACAGTGGAATGGATGCCAGCAAAAGGTTGAGAAGATTAAATTGAAGAGGACAGAAATGGAAACAAAACGTATCTGTAATAACAACAGAATTGAACGAACTATGAAGCATGTAAGGGACAACTAATGGAAGATGTGCAAATTATGTATTTAATGTATGGCTTTCATATTTCGTGAAAGCGCTTTATAATTTTGTATTAAAGAATGAGTTGGTCTTTCTTACCTGAATGTTCCTTCACTACAGTAGGTCCTCCTTTTTGTTGTGCTAATATTGCTACATTGGCCAAGTATACATAATTTTACTAGGGGAACAGTTGGTGTCAACATAAAAGGAATACTTATCAACCGGTGATTGAGTTATTGCACATGTTGGTTTTATACAGAATAACTATTGGTAGACATTGACATTCGGACTGGTTATTTAGTAAAACAATGTCCCAACGCTGAGTTAATCAGGATCAAGATATCGAGGTTTTAGGCTTTCTTATGCAAGATTTTAACAATACCGATTTTACGGACGCACTTTTATTTAGTGTTTAAGGTATTTAGGATTGGCAAGTAAGTCTGTGTTGTGGCATAACTGTTGAATAAGAAATAGTGGTGTATAATTGAAATGTTTCAGTCCATTATAACTCACTATTTGGAATCTTAAAGATCATACTTGAGTCGTTATCCCATATATCTCACTATATATCAAAGTCAGTGGTGAATCTATCATAGTTTTCCCGATTACATTCCTTCATTAACGGTAGGATTCACCTTTCCTAACTGGACTAAATCTGTTTTTATTGTTTTTCCAACTGAGCTATTTATTTATTTATTGATTAGAAATTAAACTTTTTCTCATCTACTTCACAGTCTTACCATTCCGGTTTATATGATGCATATATTCTGCTATCCTATCATTGTATGAAAATTTCTATTTGTTAAAGGTAAAAGTGTTTAGTATATGGGGTTTGTGGCGATTGTTGAATTACATCGATTACATCATAGATTGATCTTAGTTAAATAACCACTGGAAACTAATAAACACTGTATAGCTTCTTTGTCTTAGTATAAGACTCAGAAGTGCACACCTGCGACCCTACTGGGGATCAAACCTGAAATTAAATGATGAGGCAGGGTTTAACGTTTAGATAACTGAACTAGCTTCCAGCAGTTCGTATTTCTAAATTCAATGATTCACGATATTGCGTTTGATGTAAACAATACAATTCAACAGTCTCTGAAAACCTCCACTACTAATCGTTATCATATCTTAACCAGCAACTGATTTCGAAAGGTAATTCTCAGAGCTCCAGTGAGATTCTATGACCAGTAGAAACAACTCGATAATGTCACCTGTTGATTATGGAACTTCGAGATGTAATGCGGTGTTTGGTGAGGGTCCAAAAACCATTGGGCTTGGTTTCCGCTCTGTTTAGCATTTGTCAGCAAGATGTATGTGTAATCTTGAAGGGACTAGTGCTTTCTGACAAATTTGATCTCATGTTATCCAACCTTACAATCACAGACTTTAAAATACTGGGCTCTCCCGGCCCCTATCAATCAGCAATAATAAAGACTTAGCATACATAGTATTGATCACTATTTAGTGATCCATGTCAAAATAACAAGAATTCTTGAAGTAATATTCAAGAGAGAAAAATCTCCTGAAACATGATTTGGGGACTACTGATTCATACAGAAAATGTCACAATGTTTCAAATTTTTTCTATTTCTAAATTATATTGTGTTATACATTCATTCATTGTATATATTTCTTTTATTATTACATTTAGCTGCTATCGGATTAAAAACACCTTCTAGGTCTATTAAATCATTGTATTTACTACAAGAATTATATCAATCTCGATTTGATTTAGCCATGTGGTCAAAGAAATATTCAGAAACTAAATGGTCAACAATACAAAAGAATCTATGGAAATTACATATGCCTTATCCATTGCATCCAGAGGATACATTGCCATGTTCTTACACAAATATATTTGGACCAAATTCTGAATCTGGTTTAATGTATCATCAAATATGGCGTAAAGTTCTACTCGAAGATATCCTACTTTCATTAGATGAAGCTGGTTGGTTATCATCAGATAAAACAGATTCAGAAAAGGTGAGAATTTTCATTTTTGTGGCTTTCTTTTTTCTGTCTGCGGTATATTACAATAATACAGTGATATAATAATAAAGCTTATCTGGATGACGAAGTTGATGATACCGCTAGATTGAATACTCGAACTGGTACACTGGTACCTTCATATCTGCATCAGATCTACCATGTTCATCAATGATGCTGTCCAGATATGTGAAGGTTTTTACATCTTCTAAAGCTTCTCTATGAAGTGTGATTGGATTGGTGCATGCTGTGTTGTATCGGAGAATCTTGCTTTTCCCTTTGTGTATATTGAGACCTACTGCTGTTGAGGCTGCTGCTGCTCTGGTCGTCTTCACTTGCATTTGTTGTTGTGTTTGCGATAGAAGAGCCAGGTCGTCCAGCTGCTTCCCCCCAGATGTTGACGTCTTCATAATCCAGGAAAAAGGGTGAGAGTAAGCAACCTTGAGATTAAGATGGTGGTTGGAGGTAGTCAACAGGAAACTCTGAACCCGGGTTTCGTGCTACTTGGCACTCGTCAGCAAGGTGTACCTGCAATCTTGAGGGAACTGGTGCTCCCTGGCGGATTCGATCTCGTGTCACCCAGCTTCACAGTCAGAGACGTTACCACTGAGCTATCCGAGCCGTGACTAACCTCCTGTAGGACTGAGATGTAATCACGATTGATTGATCACTGGGTGGTGATCAATGTCATGCTTGTCTAGTCCTTATTAGTGCAGATCGAATGCTATCGATCATGTTGTAATGTGGCCACCAGTATCAATACATAGTACCCGCAGTGTCGAGTCACCTAGACTAGTGGCCGCATTGCAACATGATCGATAGCATTCGATCTGCACTAATAAGGACTAGACAAGCATGAGATTGATCACCACCCAGTGATCAATCATTTGTGAGTAAGCAACCTTGCCTGAAGCCGGTCTTTACTTTGAAGAAGTTTGTTAGCTGTTTTCTGTGCACGATTTTGCAGTATAATCCATCATGGGAATTCCGTTTAATATTGACCATCTTCTCAGGCACTTGGTAGTGTCGAAAAACTGGATATACATCCAAATTATGATCATTATCATATCAACTGAGTACTAATAAAACTTATAAATGATTTATTACTCAATAGTCACTAACTCTATATAATTTAACTCTTAATGTGTGTATGGATCAAAATTCAAAAAATCTTTCAGATTGCTTCCAACTGTTATGTGTTCAGTCACGTAACCTATTGATTATAACTGCAGTTTAATCGATAGAATTCATTCAGTGTTTAGAATCAGACATTTGTTTTTAACAATAGTGAAATCTAGTGCTTGCTCGTCAAAGAGAATTTCAATTTTTTTAAATTATGACGACCGTAACTACTTTTCTACTTGATTCTCTCTTTCTCCCTCCCAGTGACTTGACTGTAGCATCTTTGTGAGTAGAACAGTGGCTGTATGGTTAAGGCGTTTGAAGTTCGTGTTTCAACCCTCATATTTAAAGTGTTGCTCTTACCCAAAGACCTGGCAAATAAGTTAATTTAAATTTTAATGTAATAACTCTTTGATCTTATTCTTTGCTTTAAAAAATTTTTTCTTTAGGTATCAGAAGTCTTTAAACGCTTTCGAGATACATACTTGACTTATGGAAGTGCAATTCCACCAGCTGAATTATTTCGTCGTTTTCGTGGAAGAGATCTTAATCCTCAATTATTTTTAAAGAAGATAGAAACTTCAATAGAATCTCCAGAGATGCCTATAATATCAGAAGATATTGCACCTGTATTAGCTCGTTGATAGTTTTCATAAATTTCAATCTATTATACAACTGATAATCATGTACACAGTTACTTAAGAATTATTTATTTATATTTAACAACAACACCCCCACCCCCCACTAACAACAAATACTTTGTGCTTAACACTTGTACATTATAATACATTTTTCTTATATAACTGTAACGTGATGTTTTGTGTAGATTATAGAAAACTTCGTAAAATACTTTATAGTTTTCCATAGGAAATTTGTACACTTTTGTTTACAAAATTCTTTGGATTCAATCAAACTTTATGTTTTAAATAGGTAGATATCATTTTGTCATTATGGAATTGCAATCAGAGGTCTCTTAGGTATTTCATATTTCTTTTTTATGAACTGCATTAAACTCTTAGCAGATATTGTTAGTAGTGTTTAACAATGATTTAGCCCATATGTGATTTTCAACTTGAGTATCAAGATACTCATCATAAATGCAATTTGTACTTCTTGAAATTGTACTGTTGAATTCAATGTTACATGTCTTAATAATATCTATTACTTCGCTAACAATGAACTTCAGGTTAAAGTTTTAGGCTTTTCTACCAGTTTCGTAATCTTAAAGCAACTCATGTTGTGGACTTGACTGGTTACTTTATCTAGTGACAATACATTGCAGTTGTGACTATATGATATAAGAATCTAGGCGTTATTTCTAATAAATTAGGAAATATGTTGGTAACTCTCACCAGTCTATCTACTGGAAGGTACAAGGGTTGCAGTTATTCTACCGGTGAATATTTAATCGAAGCAAGTATAGTATTTTCCGTAGGTGTCGTCATTTTATTCTGTATGTGTGTGGGCTGTGATACTACCCGGGTGCCCAGATCAGAGCACGTGGTTCCCTTAGGAGGCCACATCACGAGCCTTTGACATAAAAGTCTGATTCACAAGGCAGTGGAGTTGCAGTCCCATGGTAGCCGGTGACGAATAATTGGTTCATACGCCATTTGTTTCCTCAGGATACTAGAGCCCATGTGCATCATCGGTTTGGAATCGGGGTTTTCAGACTCTCCTAGGTGGACTCTCCATGTTCACCAACTCGACTGAAGCGCCGGACATTCGTTTTTCATGCTCCCAATTTCGTAAACAACACCCCCGCCACGAGGAGGCAGTGAGTAGGACTTCCCTGGCAGGGGCTGTATATGCGTGGCCGTCCGAGAGCACTTCTAGAGGGAGGGCGGGCCCACCCCACTCTCGGCCATACCAGGACATTTGGGGCAACATCATGTTAGTAATCCAGAGGTTCGGCATCGTGTGTTCGCGCACAGAGATGATAATGCAATTGGTGTCACCATCTTGAAACACCGACTTCGGTGGCTTGGACATGTTCTCCGAATGTCGTCCCAGAGAACTCCACGTCGTGCATTATTTGCCGACTCTGGAACTGGTTGGAAGAAGCGGAGAGGTGGTCAGTCTATGACATGGTGTCGTGGTATGAAAGAAAGCCACAAAGGGCTAGCTTCTGTCGGTCCTTCACGACTCCCTGGTTGGGTTCGAGAGATGGCGCTACACAGTGGCTAGAGACGTTATCAGATATGGCTCAGAATAGAAGCCAGTGGTGATCCTGCTATAACCTTCTTTTATTTTCTTCCTAAAAAGTGGCCGTAACTTCTTTAACTGAAAGGATTCTTTCTGGTCGTACCTCCCCGCCTCCCCTATTATTATTATTATATTATTATTATTATTATTATTAATTATCATTATTACACTTCCTTACACTAATCTCGTCGTTATTGTTCCTCTTCTTTTTTCTTTGCGCTCCTTACCTTTTTTCTCTCCCCATTCTCACTGTTTTGTGTGGCGCATATATATTTGGTGCCCCATTGTACCAATATTTCCATGTTCATATAAATAGAAACTGGTGAATATCTTAACATAATGTGGTATTTGTATTAACTGATGATTCCTTTGTACTTGATTGTACTCTGATTACGAATTCCAAATATAACACGTTCATTTGTTCTCATCTGGTTCTACTTGCTCTAAATTGTACTATTTCGGGAATTTTTAGTTAGTACATTAGTTCAAGTACTTCTAATCATCAGATTTACTTTAAGCTTTGTTAGCTGCTTGTGTTAAGTACAGCGGAGGGGTGATAGCCTAGCACATAAAACTTCAAGTACAGGGTGATCCAGTCCTTATTAGAAGACAAATATTTCCTTATAATCTTTGAGAAGCACTACATAAGACAGCGAACGATTTGTGTGCGAAACGTATAAGTGAACCATTCCAGTCTTCACATGAGGTAGTCCTATTTTTACGCCATTGAGTATGATAGCAAGTCTACTGGAATATGTGGTGACTGTCAGTCAACACTGAATCATCGTTTGTTGATGCCAACATTCACAACGGTAAAATCTAGAGATAGTCTTATTCAACTTCATGGTTCTAAGGTATTCTCAAAAGTTGACTTAAATAATGCTTGTCTTCAAATCTCGGATCAGTCCTTATCTGATTTGACAACAATTAAAACTCCTTTTGGCTTATTCAAATACAACTTCTTTTCGTTAGCTCTGAGTTGTTCTCCAGACATATTTCAGGAAGTGATTAATAAGGTGTTGAGGTTTATGAAGATGATTTTATTATTTATGGTTAAGACAAAGTAGTTCATGATCAGACTTATTGCTTTATTGTATCGTTTTGATGGAGAATATTACGGTGAATCCAAATAAATATTCATTTTGTGCATCTAATTTTGAATGTCTTGGATACCTAGTTGATGGTAACTGTCTTAAACCAGATATGAGGCAAGCAGCTTCACTGACGAATGCACAGTCTCCGAAAAATCTTACAGAACTACATTCACTAGTTAGTGCTTTCCGTTACTATTCTCATTTTATTCCTAATTTTTCTCGCACCCGTATTCAACAATTATCTATAAAAACGTTTGTGCGTATTCTATGCAACCCTCAATGGTATCACTCACACTAAGCAGTCAAAGGCTTACCTGGTAATAAGTTGTGTACTGAAAATCAAGAATATTCCCTACAAAATTATATCAGATATTTACCTAAAAAATCTAATAAAATCACAACCGTTTCCAGCAGACAGTAAAAGATCCCTACGAGCCACCTACTGCAACGTAATCTCGAGTTCAGTTAAAGAAGTCAATGTCTATTACCCAAGACCATACAAAAATGGACTTGAATAATAGAGATCTATCAAAGGAGATTGAGAAATGCCAAAGTATGTTTAAACGAATCCTGAACAAAAGGTTATATAAAAATCTAATAGAATATTAAAAATAAAATAAAAGTAGAACAATTTGGAAGGATTTTCAAAGCATACGTCCCATTACACCCACAACAATGTGGCTTGAGAATATACGTTCAAAGTTATTACTAACTATTACTCGCTAATCTAGTGAACTGGTAGTTTCATGCAAGAAAACAATACATCTTGAACTGTATAGGAAAATGCCTGTTAGAAGATGGTTGGAATTCAGACTGAAGTAGGGAAATAATTTCTGTACAAGAGGAGATAAATCGGGGAAGGACGTGTGCTAAGGCCTTCATAAAGAGAAATTGCATAAAAATCGACACTTTGCTTAATGAATAAACTTGATATAAATCAATCAAATTTCCAAACTTCTCAGTTCATGATATATCAGTGAGATGTATGTTCACTTTGTACTTTCAGTCTGCACCCTCTGAAATTTTTACTGAAAAGACATCATCATAGCCTCATTAGAATACTTTACATGAGAAATCTGGACAATTTCGCACATATCCGCAAACTTCTTACCTCTAACGGGAATACTGACTGGTTATCTGGGGCAAGAAGTTCAACAATCCATTGTTCTTCTTTCCTCCACGTCACAAACTGTTTCCTCTGACGTTTGTCAACACGTCACATTAATTACCTTGTTCCTGTTGTAAGTTTACACAAATTATTTTGCTCTTTTGTCCTAAAAATACTTTAGCTAGTTTTATCATTATGACCAAATGAAACACGAACAGTTCCAGCAAACGCATTATCATGGAACACATTCAACTGATTTATATCGTATTATCATAAATGCGTTATTATTGCTCCGGCTGCGAAAGCTATCGAAAATGTCAGTAGGATCTCTCATCGGTCAAGAACTCTTCAGTACTTGGTATTTCTTGATTCATACCGGACTAAGCCAGTTCTGAACGCTTCAGTTTTAAGTTCTCATTCCTTATGAACACTCACAAGCAATCACTTCGTCAGTGGAAACACAGTGAATTAAGATTATGCTGCTACCCATTTTGCTGGCAGATGTAAATGATTGAAAGTATGGAGATTGAATATATTTCTGCCGAGGCAAAGATTGTGGTCGAAATGGGCAAGTAAATGTAGGTATGTGATCATATACGCACTAAATGTGTCACTTTACGGCAAAAATATGCCGTGTATACATAGATGTTCTTGAGAGGATTTGTCACGGCACGGAATCCATCACATTGACTTTGAAGTTGGACGCCTACTGAATCATTCATCTAGTACAGCAACACTCGGTTGAGAACATTTCCTGGTACTGATAATTATGTGATACCTATATATGCCTCGCATTTCCTCGGACTTCCTTCCTTTGATGTCTTGATGAGGTGTTCTTCTTTCCAGTCCATTGGGATTTATTCTTCCTCCAAAATCTTCCTAAATAGCGCGAAGATCATGTTTGCAGTTGCATCCTAGACCGACTTCAGTGCTTCAGCTGGTATTTTGTCAGATCCTACTGCTTTCCCACTCTTGATTTGTCAAATGACCATCCCGACTTCTTCGATCGTTCGTGGAGTGACATCTGTGGGTAGATTTGTAGGTGCTACTTCGATGTCTAGTGAATTCGATGGAGCTGGTCTACTCAAGAGTTCCTCGAAGTGTTCTACCAATTAGTTACTCTGTTCTTTAATTTCAGTGATTGGCTTGTCTTCTTTGTCCTTGACCAGTCTATCTGGTTTATAATATTTCCCTACCCCTTTCATCGTCATGCCATTCAGTTGTTTCATGTTTCCTTCTGTTGCAGCTTTTCCACTGTCGTTGCTAGCTGTTCCACGTTGTTCTGCTTTTCGTCTCTAGTACTCTTCTTGATTAGCTTGTTTGCTTCAATGTATTCTTTTTGTGCCTTGACTTTCTCTGTTCTTGTTCGGCTACTGTTAATTGCTGTCCTCTTTTTCTTCCTTTCTTGGATCTTGTCCAGGATTCGGATAGAGATCCATTCTCTATGATGATGCTTGTCACATCCCAGGACCTCCGAATATGTTGAAGTTAGTGCTCCTTTCATCCCTTTCCATTCACCCTTCACAGCAGTTTCTTCTTCATTCAGTAATTCCCTTAAGGCTTGGAACCTGATGTTGAGAGCTATCTTGAATTCGTCGAGTTTGTTAGTATTTCGAAGGAAGGCTGTGTTGAGACTTTGTACCGCTGTTTCCCCAGTCGTCCAATGTTTCTTCAGCCTCGGTTTCATCTTGACCACAATCAGGTGGTGATCTGAAGCTATGTCAGTTCCTCTCTTAGTTTCACGTCTTCCATTGACCTGAGATTT